GAGGAAGGGAGAATAGTGCTCAGATAATCTCATAGACCTCAGTAGTACACAGTAAGACAAAGGTAAATTAGGGAAAAAGAATGTCTGGCAGATAGTAAATATTTAGTATTTGTTTACCAGGTGAATGAATGAGCCATTAGTAGTGAATGGGTATGTTTGAGGTTTCTGGCATCATCCGAGAAACATTTAATAAATGAGGACTTTCGGCTGGGCGTGGTGGCTTACACCTGTAATCCTAGCACTCTGGGAGGCCAAGGTGGGAGGATCGCTTGAGGTCAGCAGTTTGAGACCAACCTGAGCAAGAGCGAGACCCTATCTCTACCAAAAATAGAAAAATAAGCCGGGCGTGGTGGTGCATGCCTGTAGTCCCAGCTGCTTGGGAGGCTGAGGCAGGAGGATCACTTGAGCCCAGGAATTTGAGGTTGCTGTGAGCTGTGGTGATATCACTACACTCTAGCTTGGGGGAGAGAGTGAGACTGTCTCCAAAAAAAAAAAAATGGACTTTGAGTCCCCATGTGGCTGTATAACCCACGCCCAGAGTATGGGTAGTGATGGGCAAGAAGTTGGAGAAAAGAAACTTAAAAAGAGGATAAGTTATTGATATATTGGACCAAGTGGAGAGTAGAAGAAAAACTCCCCTCTTATTTGGCTTTTGACAATTAAAAAGACAGAAGACAAGGCAGGGAGAGAGGGCATGTTAGCTCGTTTCAAGTATTTGAAGGGATTTCTTGTAAAAGAGGTATTAAATTTATTTTGCATGATTCCAGAGAATGGGGAAGAAGAAAACATCTACCTGTTCAATCAGATTAGCCACGTAAATCCTGAGTGAGTTGCAGGCAGATGCCCCCTTAGATTCTAGAGTAAATACTGAAGATACAAGTGAGTGAGGTTGCCTAGGAAAAGAGTGAAGGAGAGAAGACTGGTGTGTCCTTTATCTTCAGTGGCTGTAAATCAACTATATAATTAGCCGTGTTTGTCAAGTTATAATTTCAGTTCAATAATTTATAATATTTCTATTTGTCTTTTATAGCAGTGGTTCTAATTAAAGCCCGGATTTTAGAGCTGGCATTTCCTATTCCAGCAGCTCAGAAGATAGCTCTAAATGCTCACAGTTCTCTGAAGAGTATTTTCTCTTCCCTTCCCCACATTATATACACTGGCTGTGCAAAATGTGCATTGGAACTAGAAACAGATGAGAACAGGATCTACAAACAATGCTTCAGCTGCTTGCCGTTTACTATGAAGAGAATATTCTATAGGTAAGACAACTAAGCAAGCTAATTAGATGGAAAACATTTATTGTTACAGGACTGGAAATGACTAAGAAATTAGATCTATCAACTCTTACTTTCTAACAGGAACTAACTAGAGTTAATCCAAGAGAATAAAATTTCCCCCTGAGTGACACATAGCTATTTATGAAAGTAAAAATTGCCCAATAATCCTAAGAGGAACTTTTAAAAGCAGTAATTGGGAGATTTTATTGTCTTCAAACAGCTGTACTGAAGAAAATTTTTGCTTCATTTACACTTTTAACTAGATCTAAATGGCTCACAAATAACTCACTTTCCCACAATATCATATAATTAGAATTTAAAGACAAAATATGTGATCTTTCCTCTGAGTTGTTGTAGAAGCTAGTAAGATGTTTATCCTTTCGATACTTGTTTTCCCAACTTTTCCTTAGAAATTAAAGATAGCAAATAAATATTCTGTGGTAAAATTGCAAAGCTGCTCAGTGAAAAGCACATTGTTTTCCAAATAATATTAATAAATGTTTAGTGTCTTGGGTAATCTTTTTATTTTTACCTTATAAATTATATGCCTTTACAGAATAACACTCAGGGTTTTATGCTCTTTCTGATTATTTCTAAATACTGTAGTATCTAAAAACTAAATGCAGATCTATTCAGCATGTTATGCCATACTTCAAGAAAATTTACATAACCCATATCTCCCTTTACAGATATTTATGTTTGTTAGTAAATAAGTGAATCAACTTTCCTATTACTTTGAAAGTTGCTTTTGTGGAAAAGATTAAATTAAACACATGGTATATAACAAATAATTAAAATTGATTATCAATAGTTAAGACCCGTCAAAAGTATGCAGAGGTGACATTTTATATCATTCCAAATGCTTCATTCAATATAATTATTTATTAGACAAAAATGTTACTCAGTAATATCCCTTGTGGAGAGGAGGGCCTTTGAGTCTTCAGTCTAAAAAATATCTGTTCAAGGGAAGGACTTCACAGTTCAGTCTCACCTGATCATGGTATAGCTAGTATGAGGTAAGTAACATCTAGTTCTAAACTATACCACATTAAAGATGTAATGCTAGTTTGTTGTCTTACTAGAATGTTGAATAGACTTGCTAAGGCAAGAGTTGTTTTTGTTTATTTATTTAAAAGCCTTTAAGGTGTTTTTAGGTTTAGAGTCTTGATTATTTGGTTTCCTTGAGAAGAAAGTATTGACATTAAATAACAAACTCTCTTCAAATTATCAAGTGTGTGATTCAGAAATCATCTACATAAATCAGTCAGCAAACTGAGTAAGAGAAAGCTCTCATGGCTTATTTTTACAATCAGTCAAATATTTATTAGATATCCACATATGTTTACCTGATATTTAGTACTGTGGAAGTTATACTGATTGATATAAGTATACTTCTTGTACTCACAAAGCTTGTAAGTCCATTTAAGAAACACTTAATGAACACTTGTATGGTATAACAGCCCCAAACTGTGAGTGGACTGATCACATTTTACATTTGTTGTTTGTAACTTGGAGCTGGTTTTCCAATGGAAGCAACATTAGATGTTGTATTGAAGTTTCATACCAGGCCACAAATGTTTATTAAATGAACATTTATTAAATGAACATTTATTAAATGAAGATTTAATAAACATGTATTAATAAATAGCATAGTTACTGTTCATAAAGCTATTATAGAACTTGAACACCATCTTTAACAATGTTTCTACAGGATATGTATTCAGAATTACATTTTTGGAACACAAGAAATACATTGTTTTTTTTTCTGTACTACAAGCAAAGAAACCAATAGGTCAAACCACTTGTTAAAGCTGCTACGCAGGCAGCACTAGAGGGTGCCTTTGTCTCTCAAGAGATTTCAGTTCAGCTGCAGGCTGGGACTGCAGTCATCTAAAGGCTTGGCTGGGGTTAGAGGATCCATTTCCAAGCTGGTGCACACATATGGCTGACAAGTTGAGCTCCTGTTCACCTGGTTGTCTATGCAGGCTGCCTGAATGTTCTCCCAAAGTGACAGCTCGTTTCCCCAGAGCAGGCAGGCCAAAAAGAGAGTGCCAGATGGGAGCCACCCTTTTTATGATGTAGCCTCAGAAGTCACATGGCATCACTTCTGCCAAATTCTGTTCATTAGAAGTTAAGTTTAGCTGTACAATGGGGGTGGATTAGAATGAGGCTAGTGCAGAGAAGAGTTAGGAGGCTATTGCCTTATGTTTCGGGGAGAGATGGTGGTAGCTTGACTAGAGGGTAAGTGGTGGGAATGGAAAGAAGTGGACAGATTTGCAAGTAGTTGGAAAATAGAATTGGCAAGATTTAGTGAATGAGTGGCAGGTAAAGGGTGGTCATGGATACGTGACAGGTTATGGACAGTTGGATGAATAATAAGGTTATTTATTAAAACAAGTAACAGTGGGAAAAGTGCCGATTCATATGGAGTTTGAATTGCTGAGAGGCAAAAGGTTGGAAAGTAGTTAGATATACAGGAATGCCGTTCAGAAAAGAAGTCTGGGCTGGGTTTACAGGAATGACAGTTATTTGTGGTGATTGAACCCTTCATTAATTTCTGCCTCCTGTTTTGTTTTTCCTTCTCAATCTTCAGTTATAACCTCTCCCAGTGGATCATTTGTACTGTCCTATAAACATACTCCACTATCTCTCATATTAAAAACACATAAAATCATCTGCTAATATTATATATCCTTCTTATCACCCAATTTTTCTGTTCTGTTTGTACCCAGCCAAACTTTGTTCAGGAGTTGTAAATATATACTCTCTCCCCTTCTGCATCTCCAAATTCACTTCAGCTTACTCCATTCTGCTTCCACCGTGCTGCAGAAATGGCTTTTGCCAAGGTTACCAGCCATTTTGGTGTTTCCTAATCCATGGACACTTCTTTTCTTCTCCTCTAATTTGCCCTGAGTGACATTCAACATCTTAGACCACTTCCTCCTTCCAGAAACAGCCTCCTTATTTAGGTTCAGTGACATTTTCTTCTCCTGGTTTTCCAACCTGCCTCTCAGGCCTTTCCTTCTCAGCCTCCTCTATCTGCCCTTTAAATATCAGGGTCAATCCTGAGTCCTCTTCTTTGTCCTTTGTCTTCATTTGTTCTTTCTGTGTTTGCTGCCTGGATGGTTCCAACTGTTTCCACACGCTGGTGACTTGCACTGACGTCTCACTCTGGCTTTCTCCCCCAAGCTCCAGCATGAAAGAATCAAATTCCATACTTGACAGTCCTACGCAGATGTCCCGCAGGCATCTCACACTGAAGCATGCCCAGAGTGGACTCTTGTTTTTCCTCCCCACACTCAAATCTGGTTCTCCCATTTTTACACTTCTTGACAAATGGCACCACCATCTACCCAATTATTTAAGCTAGAAACTTGGCCATAATTCTTGAATTATTCCTTTTTCTAACCTCCCCTGTCTAATCTATTGGCAAGTCCTAAGAATTTTCATCCAGAACTATATTACAGATTCATCCACTGTTTTCTATCTCCGCTGCTGGCATCTAGTCAAGTGTTTCTCA